GGCAAGGCTGCATACTCTCACCCAACCTTTTTAACTTGTATGCAGAACACATCATGCGATGTGCGGGGCTGGGTGAATGCAAAGCTGGGGTGAAAATTGCTGGAAGAAACATTAACAACCTCAGATATGCAGATGACACCACTCTGATGGCCGAAAGCGAGGAGGAGCTGAGGAGCCTTCTAATCAAGGTGAAAAAAGAAAGCGCAAAAGCTGGGTTGCAGCTAAACGTCAAAAAAACCAAGATTATGGCAACAAGAATGATTGACAACTGGAAAAGAGAGGGAGAAACCGTGGAGGCCGTGACAGACTTTGTATTTCTAGGTGCAAAGATTACTGCAGATGCAGACTGTGGCCAGGAAATCAGAAGATGCTTACTTCTTGGGAGGAGAGCAATGTCCAGTCTCGATAAAATAGTAAAGAGTAGAGACATCACACTGGCAACAAAGATCCGCCTAGTCAAAGCCATGGTATTCCCTGTAGTAACCTACGGATGTGAGAGCTGGACCTTAGGGAAGGCTGAGCGAAGGAAGATAGATGCTTTTGAGCTGTGGTGCTGGAGGAAAGTTCTGAGAGTGCCTTGGACTGCGAGAAGATCCAACCAGTCCGTCCTCCAGGAAATAAAGCCCGACTCCTCACTGGAGGGAAGGATACTAGAGACAAAGTTCAAGTACTTTGGCCACATCATGAGGAGACAGCAAAGCCTAGAGAAGACAATTATGCTGGGGAAAGTGGAAGGCAAAAGGAAGAGGGGCCGACCAAGGGCAAGATGGATGGATGGCATCCTTGAAGTGACTGGACTGACCTTGAAGAAGCTGGGGGTGGTGATGGCCGACAGGGAGCTCTGGCGTGGGCTGGTCCATGAGGTCACGAAGAGTCGGAGACGACTGAACAAATGAACAACAAGAGATTCAGCAGCGCTTCTCAAAATGGAATTCTGCCAATCTGTGAAGCAATGGCTTGGGGTCTGCTGTGTGTTTTCAAGACAGAAGGAAACATTTGCACCCATTGGGTAGTACCAGTTCCTGGTGCATTGGAAGAAGAAAAATGCCATTTCTCCACATCAGAAAGCCTGAGTATGGTATTAGTCTTTTGAACAGTGAAGGAAGAGGGGCCGACCAAGGGCAAGATGGATGGATGGCATCCTTGAAGTGACTGGACTGACCTTGAAGGAGCTGGGGGTGGTGACGGCCGACAGGGAGCTCTGGCGTGGGCTGGTCCATGAGGTCACGAAGAGTCGGAGACGACTGAACGAATGAACAACAACAAACAGCTGCATTTTTTCCTAGCATGCATACATAGATATATGCAGTTGCTGTGAGTTTTCCAGGCTGTATATCAAGCATTCTCTCCTGACATTTCACTCACATCTATGGCAGGCATTCTCAGAGGTTGTGGGGTTTGTTGGAAACTAGGCAAGTGAGGTTAATATATCTGTGGAATGTCCAGGGTGGGAGAAAGAACTCTTATCTGTTTGAGGCAAGTGTGACTGTTGCAATTGACAAGCTTGATTAGCGTTGAATGCCCTTGCAGCTTCAAAGCCTGGCTGCTTCCTGCCTGGGGGGAATCCTTTTTTGGGAGGTGTTAGCTGGCCCTGATGGTTTCCTCTCTGGAATTCCCCTGTTGCTCTTTATTTACTATCCTGATTTTAGAGTTTTTAAATACTGTGATATATATGTATGTGTATACACACACACACACATATATGGAGCTCTGGAGCATCCATATTTCTGTCTAAAACAATAGTGAATGGATAGTCTTTTCATCCCAGTGCCATCCAGATATTAATTTACAACTATTGTAATCTCCAGTCATATAGTAAGAAATAGTTATTTAGTCAAGAGCTACTGTGGTAGTAGTTGTTGAAGGCATTTTTTTTCATATCAGCAGCTTTTGACTTGATATTTTCTTAAAGAGACTCTGGGATACTCCAGTCTCTAATAGGAATATGGACAACAGCTTATACATTTATTTATTTATTTTTGACATTTATATGCCGCCCTTCTCACCCCGAAGGAGACTCAGAGCGGCTTACAAGATATATAGATAGATAGATAGATGATAGATAGATAGATATACACACACACAATATATTATATATTATTAGTAACTAGCTGTCCCCAGTCGGGACTTGCTGTGGCCCAGTCTGTATATATGTGCTTTGTGAGTATATGTGTGTATATGTGTATACATGTGTGTTTGTGTATATGTGTGTGTGTGTGTGGTTTTGCTCATACATTTTAATTCATTATTATTATTTTTTTGGCTTTTTTAGTCTCTTTTGCTGTGTTTTTCAGTGTTTTTATGATTGATGGTCACTCGTTGGCCTGATCGGTGTCTTGTGTCCAAATTTGGTGTCAATTCGTCCCATGGATTTTGAGTTCTGTTAATCCAACAAACGGACATTACATTTTTATTTATATAGATATTACATGTAACATAAATATATAATTATAATATCATATTATTATTATTATTATTATTATTATTATTATTATTATATTGCATTACATTATAACATTATAAATATTATATATATTATATTATATTATATTATATTATATTATATATCCATGGTCCATCTAGCCCAGTATGCTCTGTTGAGGCTAAGAAAGCCACTTTGTATCTCGATCAGGAAAGAAAAACAGAGTAAAATTGAATAGAATATGATTATCATCATCTATGATCTCTGGCAAAAGGCTTTCCTCTTATTTGCTGCCTAATTATTTTAATCATCAAGCAAAACCTGGAATCTCCAGCATTCAAAGCATTGAGCAAAATCCCTTATCGTAGTAATCTGAGCCAAAAACTGACTTCAGCCCCTCCTACCTCTTATCCTTTGTTGCCCTCCTTCATTACCAGCAACAACTTTCCCTCCTGCTCCCATTTCTTAACTGGTTACAGCCCTGCCAGTGGTGGGATCTTCCCAGTATGACATGGGGACACCAAGGTCGAGACAAAGAGAACAGTAACTTCACAGTGTACTGAGTTCCCCTAATCTAAACTCAACACCCATTAGACAAACTTGTTAACGTGAAAACTCAGATTACTTGTTTCAGCTTTTTTAGTGCTCCTTGTGAAAATATACCCAGTGTATTAATTAAAAATAAAGCTAAGCTTATATATAAAATCATTCAATTGTCCCAGGCTAAATTTAGAAAAGAGGAAAAACAGATCTCATGCAGGAAGAATCTGTTTTCCATTTGCATAGCTAAATGTTATAATCCCTATGCATTTCTGAAAAACAACAACAACAACCACAAATTTGGCATGCGGGATTTATTTGTTTACTTTGCTTTCTCTTAGTGTACATGAGATATCAACTATATTTTGTTCCTCTTTCGTATCATAGGCTTTTAATACAGGTTTTGGCTTAGGTAACAATATAGAATGGCAGCGATTCAACCTAACAATGCAGCTCTATACAGGCAGTCCCCAAGTTACGAACAAAGTAGGTTTCATAGGTTTGTCCTTAAGTTGAATTTATTTGTAAGTCAGAACAGGCACATTTTAAAAGTGTAACTCCAGCCATATATATATATATATATATGTATATGTATATGTATATGTATATGTATACACACACACACACACACACACATACACATACACACATACTAGCCGTCCCCTGCCACACGTTACTGTGGTTCAGTCTGTGTATATGTGTTGTGTGAGTATATATGTATATATATTTGTGTATATATGTGGTTTTGCACATGCATTGTAAAGTATTTCTTTTATTTTTTGGCTTTTTAAATCTCTTCTGCTGTGTTTTTCAGTGTTTTTATGAGTGATGGTCACTCGTTGGCTCGATAGGTGTATTGTATCCAAATTTGGTGTCAATTTGCCCAGTGGCTTTTGAGTTACATTTTTATTTATATACATACTAGCCGTCCCCTGCCACGCATTGCTGTGGCCCACATGGGGGTTCTGTGTGGGAGGTTTGGCCCA